AAAAACTTCAAATTAATTAAGCAATCAAACTTTTATTGATAATAAAAAAACAGTAATAAGGCTGTTTAACAATAATAAAACTAAATAAAATTTCTTTCTGTAACAAAATTGAAGAAAAAAAGCAGGTTGTTTGGTACAAGCATTATTGTACCAAACAACAGAGCACAAACAGAACAAAAATAATTACAAACCGCTGACATGCGTTATGACAGCGCAAACGAGACGGGAGGATGGGAGAGGCATGGTGACAATTTTGGCTTTTATTTTCGGCGCTTTCTTACGTTTCAAGCCTAAACCAATAATGCTATTTTGGCCGAAAAATTTCGCCGGCCAAAATTTCGGTGCATCCCTAATATGAATAATATAAACCAACACCCATATGTCTACGATTTTCCTATGCTGAGTCATATTTTCCTTCCTTGAGACATGCCAAAATGGTTGCTATGGTAAACAGTAGGGTTGCTACGAAGGAGTCACCATAAGGTAATAAATGTGTTTCTTTGTCACCATAAGTTAATAAATACCAGCCACAAAGTCTTAATTTTTTTTTTTACCAAAGCTGGGATAGAGTTCAGAAAAAATGGTTGCTAGAGTAAACCGTTTGGTTGCTATGGAGCCATCAGTGATGAATATGTTAATTTGTTACTATGATTTACATAACCAAACCTCTACTTCTCTAAGATGTTTCATCTTGAAGACATTTTTGTTGTCGTTTCTCATTTATTTTCAATGGTGTACTTCAAAGACAGTGATCTTTGCCTCAACACCCCAGAGTCTAGAGCAAGGGGGGGGCAAAGTCATTCCTGGAGGGCCGGTGTCCCTCCTGGTTTTTGTTCCAGAGCTGCTTCAGGACGAATACTAGCAGCTTTAAACAAACCAAGGAGAGCTTCACTAGGAGAATCAGGTAATTTCATGAAGGTTACAACTAAACTGTGCAGGGCTGCGGCCCTTATTGCCCACCTCTGGTCTAGAGTCGCCGTAGTCTTCCTCTTCTTCAGCATGGGGCCTAGAAAATTCTAGATGTGTTTTTTGTGCATGGGCTTTAGGAGAGGCTTCCTTCGTTGGTGATACCCATGCGAGCCATACCTCTGCAGTGAACTTGCAGAAGATTTTCTTCAATCTTCTCATCAGAAGATGCTCCTGTCGAGATGTTAACTTCCGTGGACGGTCTGGACGTCTCTGTGGGATGGTTGCACTTCCATCGTTCTTACATTTTCAGATCAGTTTTGCTGTAACAGTTTGACTGGTGTGTAAAGCTTTGCTGATCTTCATGTAGCCCTCACCTTTTCTGTGTTAAAAATAATTTTCTTTTTCATATTTTGTGACTTTTTTTCTTCCATGGGGAGCCATGTGAAATAATGCCATTTTATATTCCCCTGTCTGCTGGACTCCTCTGCTGGTTAAACGCTGGTTAATTCGAATTTGTAGCTTTTTTTATTCTCCCAAGACTATAATTTAGGTAAATTAATTTTTGCAACAATGGCTTGAAAGATTTTGTTAGGAAACATTTTTCAGTGTTAGCACTGTACATGGAAAATTACAGATCTCTCAATTCTAACTAATTTTATCAACTAGTTGTTTGCCCCAATGTAGGATTCATTCTTAAAATGGACTAAACCACAAAAACTCCATTTGGCACACTTTGGCCTTCCAGTTAGAAGGTTGTCGGTTCGAGGCTCACCAGTGACCTTCCTGGAAGGAGTTTGCATGTTCTTCCTGTGATCACGTGGGTCTTCTCTGTGAACTCCGGTTTCCCCCACAATCCCAACAAGGTTAGAATAATCTAAATTAAATAATCTAAATCCCCCATTAGGTGTGAAAGTTGTCCTGCGATGGACTGGCGACCTGTCCAGGGTATACCCCCGCCTCTCGCCCAAGGTGCGCTGGAGATAGGCACCCGCAGATCCCTGTGACCCCAAAAGAGTATAAGTGGGTTGGAGACTCACCATTTACTTGCCAAATGTTGACCATTTTTTCCATGGCTGCAGCCAAATACTTTCCACTGACACTCCACGCAACCGGAGCCAGGTTTGGATCTCCTGGTGAGCCCAGATTGCCCGTACCCTCCTCTGAGGTGTCATCTCTGAAACATACACAAGCAACCTCATATTTTAAGTAAAGGATGAACAGCACAAACAAGGAAAGAAGAGAACTTACATTTTGTTAAACACACATGTCTGCTGCAGTGTGTACTGGTTTTTAGTCACATTCCAAACACGGACAGTTCCATCACTCCCGCTGGTTGCCAGAAGGCCTTTTTTATTACACCATCCACAAGTGATGACCTAGAACATTAAAAAATGCTAAGACATCATTCAATGGAGTTGAACGCCGATGAACAGGACAAAAGACGATTCCTACTCTGCTCTGGTGGGCTTCCAGTCGGAAAGTGGACCACTTCCGCAGGTCTCCTCCAACATCTGCAAAGGTCTGGGGATGGTTCTGGTTGTCTCGATCATGAGCAGCAAGAGTCCGGACCAACTGCTGCGCGGCCCATTGGCGATGCTGCGACGAGAGTCGAGACGAGAGGCAGCATGCCGCCAGCGCATTCGCTAGCTCCAATGGGCCTACAGCAAGGGCACAGGAGAGGTGGGCATAGACAGGCGACATTAACCCTGTGATGGACACCCAGCCAGGCCACAAACGAGAGACATACATGCACAAAAACACAATGGGAAAAATGGGAGAAATTAAAAGGTAGTGATGGATGAATGTGAATTTTCAACAGAGCGCCCTCTGCTGCATTTTCTGCTAAAACAAACAAAAGTCATATTCGTGGAATTGAAAATGTCACATGTAAACAAAAAATTACACGGAACGACATTGTCGCAAGCCATCAATACACACCTCTCTTTTCCAGCTCAGCCTTCTCATAGCCATGTCGAAGCCTGGCTCCTTTGTCCGCAAGAAGGGCCACCAGAGCTTGGGTAACCACAAAATTGGGGGATGTCACCAGCTTGTTTTCTTCCGCAACTCCCCTAAGGAAACTAGGCAAGAACTTCCTCTGTATAGGATCATCTACTGTGGTCAGGTTCATCCCAGTTGCAGCTGATATCAGATTCTGGAAGAAAAGTGGTGAGGGCAATAAATACATTCCTTAACTGATGAGGTGGTCATCAGGACATTTGGCTACCTGAGTGCACAGTTGGACCAAGAGTTTGGCAGCGCTTGAGCTGTTTGATGCAAGGCAGCCAACTGCAGTGCTGAGGTATGCCAAACATGAGATGGGTTTGGTAGTCTTGCTGGCACCTCGTGGGCGCTCAGAGGATCCAGGGCCCAGAGGTAGACCAGTAGACAGACCTGCTCTGCCAGCGGCAGCCAAACACATCAAACGAACCAGAGTTCTGATGTCAGTCAAGCCCAATGACTCCAGACCTGCAGCCAGACTGCAGCTTGATCCACTGTAGGAAACATTGTTAAGAGTTTGTCACAATTTCCACTACTTTTCCTTAACTACTGCTACGCTCTTCGGCTTATTTGCAGATTATAAACCTGTGAATTTGGCCATGTGTGTTTTTGTAAAAGAGGGAAATCTCTATTTCGGACAATCACCATTTATGGACGAAGAAGATCACATATATACTTATATAACTGATATAATAATAACCTATACCACTTGTTTCCTGCAGAGGAGGTAAAACAAAAGCTTTTGTAGAAGTTTATTGTTGACATTATTTGGAACGCCATAAGTGTAGACAGGAATTAATATGTTCTTGCACTTACCCCATAAACAGTTATTATTAACCTTTAGCATCTTGTTCTTGTCAAATGTTTCCCTCTACATTCGATTTTGAAGGTGAGAAAAAGAATATTAAATTGTAAATGGAACTTGAGAGAAAACAGATGATTCGCTGTGGCGACCCCTAAACTGGGAACAGCCGAATGGAAAAGAAGAAGTAATGGAACTTGAGAGAAAAGCAGTGCAGCTGTTTGATACGGTCAGTTCGAGATGTGCAGGTTATAAGCCTTGCGGCTGAATCCTGGACCAACTGTAACCTGTTCACTATCTGGCGTGTAGGCCATGGAACCGGGAGTTACAGAAATCGATACGGGGGGTGGGGGGGTGACATAATTCACAATTCTAATAGCTCAGTCCTTTAATTGTGCATGTTACTTCATGTATTTGTTTATTTAGAAATATTGATAAATCCATCTGTTGGGGCTAAGTTATTATTTTTTTATGTACAAAAATACCATATACCGTGGTAAGATGGGGATGGTTTGACGTATCACAATTTGGATACCGCCCAAGCCTAGTTCATACAACCTGTTCTTAGAGAGAAAATTATGGAGCTGAAAAGCAACACATATTTCCAGCAATTTAGAGATGAACAGTAAAGGTTAAAGATTAGTCTGTAGGATTTAGCCCAGAAGTGGCGTGATCGCTGCTATCTTAAATAACTAAAGGATAGTAAATTGTTATTATGAGATTAAACAAGGCTGGAAGGCCCTGCTTGACGAGTTTAGTTGGAATTTGGTCAAGCGGACAGGCACAGACGTTAAGAGAAATAGAGAGAGTATACACTGACTGTGTACATTTTTCAAGGTCCATTTCACATAGGACATAGAAATATCAGCATCAGCACACAGATGGCCCAAGTCAACATTTAAAGGTTCCTCCGAAAACAAGTCATAATACAAAGTACCCCATGCCTAGACCATTCCCTATGTCTCTATGATTTTCCCTTCCTATGAAATCAGGCTGCACAGTAAGCCTGGGAAAACAGTTGGGTTACTAGGGAGTCATCAAAAATGTCATAAAAAGTTTGAATTTGTAATTACGATAAGCCAATGACAAATATTCAACCTCTTCTAGGGCTGGAGTTCAAACACTGTTTGAAGCTTCAATGAGGTTCTCTTTTGGAGTTACAGTCTTCCAAAGTTCTACCCCATGCTATTCCCCAACAAAGGTAAAGCAACCCGAGTCAGACCAGTTTGGACGTCTTGGCAAAGTTTGGTGGTTGTAGCCCGAACGCTCTAGGAGGAGATGTATTTAGAAAGCTTTTCTGTGGCTCAGTCAGTCGAGCACTGTGCTAGCAACTCACAGGTTGTGGGTTCTAACCCCAGGGAAAGCAAGAATTGATGGAATGTGTTAATGGCTTGAATGTGTTAATGGCTTGCTGAAAATCACACTGAAAGAACACTTTGTACTACTTGGTAAAGCTTGACAAAATTTAGAAACAGGCAGAAAAAACCAATCAATTAAAACCTAGCACATCACCAAGGAGTAGCATCAACAAACTAACCTAACTGACAGCAAGGACAGCGCTCTCATGACCATGGTTCTGGCTAGAAGAACCTGTGCTGCTGCTGTTACTCTCTTCAGAGCCACCAGACGATCAGCTGACGTCTGCAGGCCCGCTGCCTGCTCTCCCAGCGTCAAGCGGCCTGAGGAGCTTTTATCCACTGAGCTCTGGCACCCTGAGGAAGAGGCAGGACGTCTATGTTCTTAAACATGCATTAGACGATATTACCTCAATTGATCACTGTGGCTCTGTGTGGTATTCTACCTATCTGCAGGAGAGTCTCCTCCATATTTGTTGGTGGCGGTGACCATGGCAACAGAGGCTCCAAGAGGGTCAGTGTCTAAAAAATGGACTGCTTCGGGAACAGGTCTCCGTTCACCAAGACCCAGAGGCGATGAGAGCATCTCAAATTCCTCCTCACCAGTCAGACGCTCTGCATCGTCTACATCCAGCATATCCCAGTCTTCTGTAGAATAAAAAAATGTATTTGCTTACATTCCAATGAAATCTCTGTTGCTGACGCGATTCCAACATGGTGGTGCTTTAACCCCTTAACACACCAAAGCAACAATAGTTTGTCAATTTGTGTAAAGATTCCTAACAAAGCAAAATGGCGATGCCCACCTTTTATGATGTCTCTACAGCTACACAGCCACTGAATCATCGAGTGTCTGATACCATTGTACTTGTAACAGTCCAACGAACAAAATGCATCCAAGCTGCTACTCCAAAAACGTGTTTACCACGGGAAAAATACATAAAAGCACAACTATTCACTTTTCGTTTGCTACAAAAGAAAAAAAAAGTCTGCGATTTTTCCGGTTGTTTTGCCGGCCATTTTTAGGAGAAAATCGACAAACAAGGTAGGTTTCAATCCAGTAAAGTCTCCTAAACATTTTGAGACCACCTTTAGAAGTCTGTGACCATGATTGGCCAATTAGCAAGCCAGTAAACAATCCCTGGCAACTCAAAGTGAGCGCATGTCAACGTGGTTCCTTGTTTTTTCACACGTGTGTACAGCCAACCAATCACGATTAAACTCTAAGCAGATTGGCGGGTCATTTAGCCAATGAGATGAGCTTTCCAGCGATGAATAGTTTTCACATAGTTCGGTTGACAGACACGAGATAACGTGACTGCGTAAAGAGAACAGATGCTTCCAGTCGGCCATCTTTAAGCACACCAGTGATCAGAGAGCGCAGCATTAAAAACTTTTTTTCCGGAGAAAAAGGCATGTTTTTCTGTTACTGTTAGTAACACAATGGCATCTAAGAAGACGTTTGATCGTTTTGAGGAGATTTTAGAGGAGATTCAGATTGTTTTAATGAGTGGCACAAATCACATTGTTTTACATATTTTTTTATTTTTACATTGTTTGCATTTTCTTTAAACATTATTTTTTTTATTGAGTAGTTTATCTAGTCGTATTGATTTGTATTTAAAAAAATGCAAATTTACATCAATTTGTTCATTTGGTTACCAAGTGCCAATTTGGTGCCAATGGTGCCCGTCTGGACATTGTCTAATAAAAATCACTCCAGAAACACATGTTTAGCTCCATTTTGACAGATTTTGGTCATGTATTGGTTCACAGTTGTGGCTTCTATTCAGTGTTGTCAAAAAGTCTACCAGGGCCTCAAGAAATCACTTATTTAAAAAAGTAATTTCTACAAAGTTTGTGAACCTATAACTTTAGTTTTGTTTAAGGTATACAGTTCCTTACTTTTTCCTGATAAACTAGAAAGGGTTACATTTTCAATGACACCAAGGACAATAATTTAACCCATAAAATGTGAGAGTTAAAGCCATTTTATTTTGGGACCTATGTTCAAAAAGAGGGGTGGGTGTTAAGGGGTTAACAGAGAGTGTAGGGTGTGGATGTGTTCAGACATGAACTGATAACATAGTTGGTAAATTTGAAATTGATCAGACTAGATATGAATCTCAATTCGGTGTGTAGAGGCCTTAAGACTTGAGAAAAAAAATATTTAAAATAGGAAATTTCCATTAACTTAAGTGTTTTTAAGGCCTAAAATTTGAGACTTTCTAAGACCACGTGGAAACCCTGTCTGACCGATCCATATTTCTAATTTTATATGTCCTCAGGTTTCCTCAGGTTTGGATTGTGAATGTCAAAGTCAGGATATTTTAAGTGGAGAACAGATTTTTTACCTTCATAAACACTGTCTTGCTTTCCCAGCAAGTCTGGAGCTTGACCTTTATACCTGTAAAACAGATCTCTGTGAAAATCAGGGACGTTTTTCGACACAAAAACACAGTTCAAACACACTCCTTACCTCTCAGGCAGTGGCCCTCTGAGCTTGCTCTTCATGTTGAGGTATTTCTCTCTGCAGCTGCTACAGAGCAGGTAATAGGGATTTCCACTTCCACACTCTCCCCCGAACCACCCGTCAACATAGGAGCCATTGCTGCGGTAACCCTGCCGATTGGCACTGTGCCCGCAGCCTGGGTGACTTTTCTTCATGTGCTGGTTGAAGCTGGACACGCTCACCCCACATAACTCACACACGACCACCTCATCACGGTCCTCTGACTCACACACATGCTGACACAAAAGCAAACAATGAAAAAAAGAGGGCAATCAGATCGGGTGTGCAAGAACCTATGACATTTCAAAAGCATGCCGATTGAAAATGGAGACAAAAACTGAATTTATTTTGGGGAAATTAAAAGAATTTACAATTTATTCTCAGCATTATTGTTGCATTCAAATAAAAATATCATAAACAAGATCAAAGCAGAATTTATTTTTGGGTAAATTTTTTGGGTAAAATTTATTATTCTTCTAACAAGCGAAACAAATAAAAGCGCAGATTTCTACGTTTTGCCTCAGGAACATCCATCACATTAAACAGAGAGATGATCATTTCACTTATGAAAGAGAACCCGATGCTCAACAAAATTGTTATTTATAATGCATTTTTGTGAAAGAAAAATAATCAACTGTCACTAATTAAGAGTCATTTGCAGTAAGGGCTTCGCGGCTGGAAAAAGTCTGGGAATTATTTCATTATTAGATTTCCAGTTTTGTTGTTTTAGGTTTTTGTTGTTGCAAAGAACCAGATTCTGAAAGTTACCATTTCAATGAAAATAACTTCTATAAAACATGTTTTGAAAAGCCAAAAGCATTGAATTTGACCATTATTTGTCCATTTATAATATGGTTTAGAAGTCAGAAAGAAACGATTCAGTTCATATCTAAACTCTCTCCACATCTCTGAGCTCTGGATCTGAGTCCTTACTTAACTAAACGACCGGTTACATGGAAAAACTCTCTACTAATACTTTTTTAATGGAATGAAACAATAAACTGCAGTTTTAAATAAACGTAACATAAAAAATAACATTTCTGTTGAATCTGTTTTCTTTCCACACAAAATCTGCTTCTGATTCATGGCACAGAGCTTTAGCTTCGTTGTGAAACTTCCTGTTTGCTTTTAGCACAGCTAGAAAGATTATTTCTCGTTTTTCAACCGCGTTTCTTTCAGTTTTATGAAACCTTTACGGCAAAACCAATCTATTCCCGCACAACACGACACGTGTACCTGCAGGAATTCTTACGCCAGACAAAAGAGACCCGTCATATTGCTGCTGCGATGTGAGAGGAACTACTTGCTTAAACCGTTTATTTTCAGAATAATGTTTCTTACAATACTACACACAGTGATCTCTCTCTCTCTCTATCTAAATAAATTTAAAGTGTCATGATTTTCGTCGGCAACGCCCTCCAGCACATTTTGCAGAGCTCTTAAATAATCACGCAAGTCACGTTTTCTGATGCAAATGTATATCAAAATATCAGAACTGTTTTTAAAACTCAGATCACCGTTATTGAAAAAAATATATATTCTGATCTATATTGTTACTGAATTATTGTCCAGTATTTGTCATCAGGAATACTTTCAGAAAATTTGCAGACGATTAAATATCACCCATTCTTAGCATGTAAAGATTCTTTATAGCGCTACCAAAGCATGCACCGGCGTTAGTGAACTGCTTGTGTCCAGTTTACTGCAGTAAAACATGTTAAAAGAAAGTCCGACATAAGCCCAAGGACAGGACTGTGAGTTCAGCCGTGCAAGGGTTAATTGAGTAATAAAGCAGTGGCAGCCAAAGGCTGCGGTCACACACACCCATGTTGGCCAGTCCAGTACCTCCGGGATCCACATTCCCAGAATGTCTGAGTCAGACACCAGCTCCTGGGTGAACATAGCCTCCATGGCTTCCTGATCCAAATCCAACTCCAACTCTTCATCCAAATTAAAGTCGTACAGCGCTCCAAGAGGACCAGGTTCCTGCTGCAGAGCAGAACCTTCACGGCGCACTTGAGATCGATGAGCCTGCACTGAGCGGTAGAGTCCGGCTGCAGAGTGAAATTGATAAAAGGAGCTTTCAGGAGAGGAGATTAGTTTTAGCAAACCACCCAATTCCTTGACCATCATATGTGTACCTGCTCGCGCTAATAACGTGCGTGCAGCGAGGTCAAAGCGGTGTTTTCTAGTGGGTGCGGAGCGTCCTCTGGGAGTGGGGCCTGCAGACCCTGAGGCTGAATCTTGATCAACACCTTCAGGGCTGGGAAAGAAAATGTTGGAAGTAGTAATGCAAAGATGCATTTAAACAAACAGCATTTAGCAAGTGTTGTACCTCTCACTGAACCCCTCCTCCATCTCTGCAGCGTCAGCATTCAGTATCTCCCCAGGTGACTGCAGTAATGCCCTCTCCGTTTTCCCACCACCTGCTGCCCCAGAGCAGGGATCTGAAGCCTCCTCAGACTCTGCTGTGCCCGGGTGGTCGATCATCCACATTGC